AGAAATGTAAGACATATCATATAGAATGCAGCAGTACTCCAAAGTTGGACGTACGCAGGTTTTATAAAGATGAAGACGAAGAGAATTAGGAGAATCGCGGAAGACACGGGAAATGGAGCCAAGCATTTTTCGAACCGATAGTAGCGCCACTAACAACGACAGCAGCGAGAGAAGAGATCAGATTTCCTACAAATATAGCTGAACAAGAGGAGAGAGAATATGATACATTTATTCGTAAGAACTTCCAGAAATTTTCAGAAAAAGAGGGATAAGATGCCACGATATGGCTCACAGATCTAGTGGAACTATTTGATAAATTGAAAATTCTCGAATTACAATGGATTTCCTATGTTCCATCAGTGTTGTCTTCAAAAGCGCGTGTTTGGTATGGAAAGCATAAATCAAGCTTCACAGATTTTGATGATTTTAGTTGAAAATTTTCAACAGATTTTGATTTCAAGCGAGATGGACCGAGTTCTTTTCGGCCGTTCACACCAAGCTACACAATTTCAACTGAACGTTCATCCACAACAGATTCAGTACATTTCAGCTTGCTAAAGACATTGAACGAACAAGTAGTCAAAAAGTTGAAAACGTTCAGTGATCGAAATCAAAATATTGTAACTTGGTTAGATGAATTGGAAATACAATTTAGTGCTCATGGTTAGGGAGAGGAGGTTAGACTGAAATGTGTAGCGACCGTCTTACAGGATCATGCACTGGAATGGTACACCAGAGCTGCTACCACTATTAACTGATGGAAAGGTTTCCATCACACAAATTAAAGATGAATTTAGTTCAAAATTTAGTCAACAAATAGCATTTGAACGAATGATAAACCATCAACAAGGAATTAATCAGTCTGTTTACGATTTCTGTTGGGGAATGCTACATATCAGTCGTGAAATTGATCCACAGCCAACAGCTCATAATATTTTGCAACATCTGATTTCAAATGTAAAGCCCTTTCTGAAAGTAAAGATTATGGAAAAAGATCCAAAAACTTGTGCTGACTTCTTGTATCATGCTAAATGTTTTTGAACAAGTAGCACCATTTGAACTACAGGAAGAGGCTCAAGCTATCTATTTGCCACCTTAGCGACGATGGCCCACACAACAACAGCCATTACAGCAGATACGTTCAGATACTGCTCAAAGTCATCCAACGCCGGCTGATCTACAACAGGCAGTTACTTCTCAACCTGCAGCTGCAGTATCCAATGCACAAAAACCACTAAGTAAAGGACAAGTATTTGAAAATTCCAATAATCGCGGCTCATATTCAAACTATTCGGGTTGTCATATTTGTGGATCACTTGAACACTATGCCGGAAACTGTCGTGAACGACAGGGTTTCGAGCAGTGGAGTCATTGATTGATGGTGATGGCCCCGAAGACTTTTGTAACCCACCATTAATTTTCCTTTCCGTTCAAGTCAACAATCGTTAGATGAAAATAAGGCTAGACACCGGAGCCACAAACACCATTATCACAAAAGATGCCTTGAGCAAAACAAGACATCAGAAATTCATCAGCAATTCCCACAAGCACAAGTTAGCAATGGCTGATGGCTCTTCTTATCTTAAAGCAGTTGATACAGTTGAACTGAGTATAAAAGTTGATAATATGTATACAAAAATCACTGCCGTAGTAGTGAAAACGTTGTTCACAGATTGTATTATTGGGACGGACTACATAAAGAAGTATTCTTTACAAACTGATGCTGGCAGTGAAACTATAACTATTTATAAAGGCAATATGTATGTGTATCTATGGAAAAACCAAATCAATCAGTGAAAGTACCTATGAGATTGACACGGTCAGTAAAGATACGAATCGGTGAAGAAGTGAATTTTGAAGTGTCCGCTTGTATTTCAACAGCGAAAGTTGTTTTCAAACCTTCACATAACTTGAAAGAACAAGTTCCCGTTTTTCTACCGAATTCTATGTTAGAAAGAAAGCATCACCATGCAACGATTCCACCCTCACCCTCACATTATGATACAATAGAATCTGAAGCATTAGCTAATATAAGTGTTTTGAGCGTATGGGCCCATATATTCAAAGTAGATCAATCATTCTGTTCATAGACCACTGTCCTCTCTGTAGTATGATGACAAAGAATGTGAAAAATAAAAGAGTTGATCGAATTGCTTTTCTCCTTCAAGAATACCACATTACCCAAGTTATTCATGTGAAGGGTAGACATAACTGTCTCCCGGATGATTTGTCAAGAAATCCGATCGATGTCACAGATGAATTGATGGAAATTGAATATGGTTTAGAAGTTCCTGAACCACATCGTCACGATGGAGACCGAGTTTCTTACGGCTCCAAGCTTGCCGATGTGGTCGGTGTAACAACAAGTTCGGCAGACAACAAAGAACAAGCACAGGCAACCGCAGATCAGTCAGAAACGGAAACGGATGATACAGATGACTCTAAACCTCAGGAGCTTGAACCAACAACATACAGCGTTCTGCCACATCATCTTGATATCACACATTTGATTGAAGAACAGCGACAAGACCCTGAAATACGGAAGAAGTTAGTCGAAATTCAAACGAACCCCACAAAGCATCCGTATTTGTTTGAAGATAGTGTCTTATATAAACTTCAGTTGAGAGATGGTGGTAAAACTGTGTCAAAGCTCAGACAAATCACAAACGACAATCTTGCCGTTAGCCACGAAGAACGACAGATTTCGAATGTTTATTCTGGTACACAAGCAAACAGTTCGAATTTTTCGAAAATATTTTTAAAAAACGCAGCGACCCAGACCCGGTTTCGACCTTGCTCATGGGTCTCTTCAACTGGGTTATGGTATAAAACATGGTAGGAAAACTGAATGGTTTTATTCGATTGGTGTTCTCTCGCCCAAGAATCTCCCTAGAAGAGTGCAAAAACCTGAACAAAAGAAGTGGTGGCGGGGTGCCGAATGGTGAGAGTAGGACTGTAAAAGTGCCCCCTTTATTTTTCTGTTTTAAACAAGATGTGCGCAGTAGTGATTGAGGGGCTGTTAGGCCAATACCTGACTAGGGCGAGGGGTGGGGGTGAGGTGATTCTTCCTTGATAATTGCCCTTGTTCAACTTTAGGTTCTTTGCATTAACCGTATTTCGATACGCATCTTTGTGTCTATTTACTCTGAACAGGTTGTTTCCATGGCGAAGAACTTGTTTCATTAACAAATGGTGAATATAGAAAAATGAAGGATATACGCTCCGGTGATTGCGTTTATTCATTGAATAAACAAAATCAAATCGTCGAAGACGAAATTGTAATGATGATTTCCAGTAAACCGAATAAAACAGGTTGCATGGTGATTAAGAGTGAGTGTGCCTAAAGGTGGATCGAAGGCAAGCTTCGGATCAGTCTCAAAGTTTCAAGATAAGTACAGCTCAAATAACTCAACATGTTTTCATCGAGAATGAACTCTGACGAGGAAACCTATCTAAGTGATACCTTCCGATTTCGTTGGTTCATATGTGGATCGATAGAACGTATCGAGCTAGTAAAAAGAAGCCTAAAAGGATTTTCTCCTATAGCTCTTGAAGATCCGCTTTTCTGAAAAACCAGTTTTCCAGAAACTATAAAGGTAATCAAAACCTTCCTTAATAAGGCATAATCGTTTCTGATAATCTGATATCTGATAAGACATCTTCCAACTCTACACGACCTGTGACGGACATGCATATACACAAACATATGAAAACTGGGTGACCGACGTACACAGAGACATTAGCGTGCCGGACGTGCTATGACATATCGTGCATAGTCCCCTAGCGAACAGCGAACGAAGGGAGGTGTAAGCATTGTCTTTGATTTCAAGTTATTGAAGTTCGCAGATATAAGTTCCTAAAGCCAAGTGGCCGAGTAAGTGCAGACGAACGCTGTCTGGTGTGTATATGCAGTGAATAATCACTTCGAGCGAGGTTTAGGAGTAACCCTACTGGTCGAGATGTATTTTGACTTGGTTTCCGTTGTTCTTTTGTTCTTCCTATGTTTTATCGGCACGGACTTCGGTATGTAAGTTACATACTCATAGCCATGAGAGTGACGGACTTTAAACGATACGCAACCTTTGAAGGATCGATTCCCAATTAGACAGTAGGCATAGTGGTTTAGTGTCTGCGGAGTAGTGTATCAAAAATATAGTAAGCGCGGGTGGTTAACGGAACTTGTTGTGCAGTTGGGTTGTCCTTATATTTAGCTAATTTTACAACCGCTTTGCAGTTTCTAGAGACTCAGACAGAATTCATTTCAAGAAGAATCAAAAGAAGATACAACGATCGGTTTCGACCTTTCTCAAGGGTCTCGGTAGGTGGTTACCTTCGAGAAAGACAGAGTCAAGGCACGACAAGCAACACAACTCCGTCACACCGTATGAAGGTCTTACTGTTCCTTGTTCTTATCGAACAAAGAACGATAACTTTCACACGACGAGAACGAAGCACAATATCACTGTACAATGCACATGTTCTACTTCTCTACATTAAGTATTTCTTTTGGTTCATTCTTTCAGAAATGAATTTCGTCTGAGTCTACAGTAACTATAAAGTGGTTGTAAAATTAACTAAATCTAATTATTCAAGTCGAGTTTCACATTTATATATGGGTTGCCCTTAGTTGTGCTACAATAAAATCGACTTACAGTCAATGGACAGAGTGAATCGGTCTGATTCACGTTATTTATTCTTTATTTATAGCTCAATTCTGCGTGATCGAAACTGTTTTAAATCAAACATTAACTGCAACACGTCACCATTATTTACCTGTCTATGGTAAGAAGCAACGATTTCTAACAGCATTCCATTTGAAACCAAATGACTTATTGTATGTATAGTAAATTATGTTAATTGTTTCTTGAATGTTTTGATTGTTTGGTTTATTATCTGTTTTAAAATCTTGTAGTATTATAGTTATAAAATATGTTACGATTAGCTTTTATTTTATTTTTATTCTTTTTATTATAATAGTAATAAATATAGGCTTTCCTTCTTTTATAGGATTTTCAAGAGAATTTTTAATATTAAAATCTATTTTGAAAATAAGTTTGTCAGTGTTATTTATTATATTTATTAGATTGCTTATTTCTTGTTATTATAATGCTTGTATAACTTTTAGTATTTCTGTAGGGCGGGGTTTAAAATTAAGTAATTTGCGTGTAGTTCTTAGTTTAGTTTTAATTTTCTTTTTAGATTAGTAATTATATGTTGTGAGGGTGAAGGTATGGATTTTTTAAAAATGACATTTCTATATGTGAGGAGAGTAATACTTTTTTTAACGGGAATTATATTTTTGTATTTTTAATAGTTAATAGTTTTCTTTTAGTTTTTAACTAAAACCAAGTTGGTGTTTTAGTTGGTCTTGATATAGAGTTTTTACTAGATCTATGAAGACTTAGATTTTCTTTGTTATTTGAATAATTAGCACAGTATTTACTGTTTTTTGTTATATGTATATGAAAGATATATTTACTAATGTTTGTTTGGTTTTATATCTTTTACTTGTTTTTAGAATGCGGTTTTTAATATATAGTAACAGTTTTTATTGGTAAATATTGGGGTGGGATGGTTTAGATGTTGTTTCTTTTTATTTAATTTATTATTATTCTAATTTTATTAGGTTAACTAATAGAATATTAACATTATTTCCAAATCGTATGAGTGATTTTTTCTTTATTATTAGTTTAGTTTATATGGATTATTATTTGATTATAAATTTGAGATTTTTTACTTATTTATGTTTGGGGTTATTAATTTCAAAGGCTTGTGTTAAAAGTGCTCAGTTTCCTTTTAGACTGGTCTCATGGATAATTTCGGGCTGCTGCAATCTCAAAATTAGTAGGTATGCTACACACCTACCCATATTTACCGCTGCCAAAGTTATCACACAAAATGAAATGTTGTTTGGTAACTCACTCTCATGCTACTACCACCCCACCTCCCAATCCTGAATGTTCCAATTTTCCAATGTCAAAATTTCACAGCGTTACCATACTGTGAGTTCTAATACATTTAGAATTTCAGAATGCCAGAATGTCACAATTTCACAATTTCACAATTTTAATTCAGAGTTCGAGAATTTTCGAATGTCAGAATCTCAGAGCTTCACCGTGCCAGTATACTCTGGATACTAATACCTTTAGACTTCCAGAATCTCAGAATGTCAGAATTTCCAACCCTGAATGTCCATGTAGATCGAACACCACTCAATAGTGTTGCTGCAACGTCAAGACATGAGTAGGTACGCTTTGTACGAGTAGGTATGGATAGGTATGACCATAACTACCCCTACCTACGCATGTATGGGTAGCACAGGTATGTATGGGTAGGTCGGATGTACATATAGGTAGGAGTATTGGTAGGTGGTATATCAATTTTGGGTTGTAGCAACATTATAATTTTGAGGTTGCGGCAACCCCAAAGTATCCATCTTGTGGTAGCTGATGTATTTGTTATTATGCGTTTTAGTTATTGTTTAATTGAGTATATAGGCGTTCTTAAGTTCTTAAGTATATTGGCTTTATTTATTAGATTTAAAAACTTAAGGAAGAACTTAAAACTTAAAGCTACGGAAGCAAAATCTTTTGTCTGTCACTAAATCGTGCATTGACAGAACCTCTAATTATTTAGATTTTCAAAGCAAACGGACGCATCGATGCTGGTCTACGAAAACATTTGGGAAATTCTCACAAATTGGTTGAATATTTATATCCATCACAAAAGAAGCAACGACCAAAAGTTCAACCAATAACACCAGAAAGAAAACGTGATTTGGACGAAG